AGGCCTTGTGTGCCATACTTTCCAAGTCCTGTGCCAGATCTTGCAGGCTCTCCCCTTTATCATGGACTCTAGTCCTAAACCTAGCCCTGTAGACTTCTGACTGATTTTGGGTTCCGTACCTGAGTTCCAAAGCCTCTACCAGTGCTCTATAGTTGTGTCTGTCTTCTGCTGACAACTGTCCAAGTATTTCCCGTGGTTATCCCTTCAAAGTTGTTGCCAGGTACACTGCTTTCTGCTCCTCTGTCCAGCCATTCATTTCTGCCAGGAGCTCAAATTGTGCTCTATATGCTTCCCACGGTGCCTTTCCATCGAATTCCTGTGGCTTTCTTCATACTAGATCACCCCTATTGCTGACATTCATGTCTGGAATGTGACTTCTGACAGGACTGAAGATGTCTGTATTAAGGTTTAGCTGCGGAGTCTGGAAGGGACTTCCTGTTGTCTGGGGCTGATTAGGTCCATGGCTAATATATCCTCCTTGTGTAAAAGACAGTAAATCATCCTTTAATGTATTTAATTCACTTTGAAATTTACTAATCTTTTCCATTTGTGTGTGCTGGCTTTCTCTCAACTGTTAGAGTCTTTCTTCCTGTTTCTTTTCTTGTTCCAGTTGCCACTGATGCTGGTTTTCCTGTCACTGCTGTAGTCTCTCTTCTTGTTTATTTTCTCGTTCTTCTTATTTCTTTTCTTTTCCTCCAACAACTGTTGTAATATTTCTTCTTGTTTATTTTGCTGTTCGAACTGCCATTGCTGCAGGTTTTCTTGCCACTGCTGTTGTCTCTCTTCTTGTTTCTTTTATTTTTCCTCCAACAACTGCTGTAATCTCTCTTCTTGTTTCTTTTGCTGTTTTTGTATTGCTGCCATAAAATCTGCTAAGCTGTAGTTTGATTTGCCACCTCTCGTTTCCATCTTCTTCTTTTTCTTTTCCGGTCTTTCTTTCTTTTTGTCCCACTCTCTCACACCAATTTGTTACATATCTGGTCATTTGTTAATTTCCGGTATAAATTCTTTCCGAGGAACTTCAGTGATACAAGTCCTTTCTTAGTTAGACCAGTTTATTTTTTTCTCGATACAACTTTGTAATACACAGAATTTCC